CTGGGCACAGGCCTCCGCTCGTTTCTGAGCGGGTTTTATGGCAAGTCCGGGTCATCACTTAAAATTGCAATTAACAATTTCATTGGCTCTTGCGGGGATCCAACCCGGGTTGCTCGCGTACTGTGCAATATACAGCTACCGCTAACCATCTGGGCTGCCACGGCTCCAGACACTTGTATCTATCCTAAATTATATCAAAATGCGTTGTCATCCTTTAGAATTAAGGTGTCATTACCAATAAAACGGTTCTCCGGTTCTCTTCATTCACCATACGAAACAGCAGCATTAGGTATGAAGAGCGCATGCTCCTTCCCCGGTCGAGCGGACTCATTCGTGCTTCAGTTATTAATATATCTGTGATATGGTTATATAGCCTAAAAACTTTTATTAAATTTTTTAACAGCCATTTTTCAATCACTTTTCAAGTAACTTTGAAGTTTGATTTCGAAAGCAGTTTTTCACGTATTAGAAGTATAGTGTATAAAGTTAATTTTACGGAATTTATCGCGTTTAATTTAGTTTATTTTTATTTTACGACGTTTCGGGTGGGCTACAGCACCCATTGTCATTCATTGACGTTGGGACTTATGCTCTGCTGTAAAGCACCTTAAACGTCGGAAATTCAAAAAAGTTAAATTAAACGCGATAAAGTCCGTAAAATTAGATTTATTCAAAGTCAAGTATTTGTGTAAATATAAGAATTCATTATTAAAGTACATTGTTAATTTTATTATCAGTATATATAGTCGAGCTGTCCTGACACAGCCGTTTTGCATCTACAAAGGTAACTATTTTAGAAAATAGTCTTTGTAGAAGATCCTCGGCTATTTAAGGTCATTAAGCGCAACACAAAGGATGCGTATTATAGCGCAGGTCGTGGCCTTCGTCAAGATTAGCGTTAATAAGTAATTGAGAGACCGTAAGTAGTTCTATATTATACATAAAATCTATATTTAAGACTTTCGGAATACGCTCCAAATTGTAGTCTTATTGAACTTAAAGCGCTTCTACACGGTCGGGACCAACCACCAACCGTCGTGACCTTGGTCGGGTCAACCGATTTTTGTATTCGTTCTACACGGTCGGGTGGTTGACTCAACTAGTCAGTTGTCTCTAGTATTTAAAGAGTAAAGACGTAAGGTAGTTACTTTTAAAAATGGCTCCTTGCTTTTCTATACAACAAAAAATAGGTTAAGCTTTAACGTTTCTATGCTTGAATGAAGATGAAAAAAAAAATAAAAAAATAAAATGCATAAAATTGTGGCTGAAAGAGCGCATTACTTTAAACAAACATGACATGGTACTTTAAGACATGGTAAATCATAGTACAGTGACAAGAATTCGGTCAGGACCTCACGTTCTTTGCTTCCGTTCGTATTCATAGTGCCGTTAAACATCCGCCTGCGACGACTACTAAGCGCGCACTGAGGCGCTCTCGTCGGCCGACAGCGTTCCACACGGTCGGCGTCAACCACGGACCCGACGTGTCGTGAGGGATGCGCTCGCGACCAAGGCCGTCGGACTCAACGAAAATATTGGTCAGACAACCGATTTCTACACTGTCCATTTTTACTTCAACTCGACCAAGGTCACGACGGTTGGTGGTTGGTCCCGACCGTGTAGAAGGCCTATTAGAGGTGAACCGTGCAGTGACAGTACGAGAATATCCCCCACCCCATATCGTCCCGTGGGTGTCGTAAGAGGCGACAGAGGGAAACATATCAGGAGATGGAAAGCAGTGTCTTCCTATTAACAAATAAAAAAAACTGCGGATGCCAACCCGCATGCCAAATGCTAAATACCCTCCCTATGAGACAATGTATGAGGGAGGTCTGTGTTCAGCAGTGGCCTTTGGTGTACTGTAACAGTAACAGTACGGTGTGTCAAAAAAAAAAAAAAACTGCGGGTGCCCCCGCAAACTTGAATGGAGGTTGTGTTCACATGGCCTTGGTGTACTGTAACAGTAACAGTACTGAACTAGAGTTAGGTAGACTGCTACAAAACAAAAATAAAAAAAAATATTTTGTATGTTCTCCTAGCGCCTAAAACTCAAGAATCCAACGTTTATTGTCGCATGAAATCGTATCTAGCAATCATATTAAACATATAAATGATGTAAAAAGCACATTGTCAGAAAGATAAATGATTGTTGAACTTATTTTTATTTAAATCGATTAATTGTTATTTCTATTGTCCCCATGGAGGGGTAAACACGATAAGTTTTGAAAATATCAATTGTTCAACTCAATCTATCTTTTAATCTCTTCATCTATCATGAAGGAAGCCCTAAAATATGAATGGCTGCTTAATTTTGTTTTGTTTAGTTATAATTAATTTTTTTCGGCTGATAAATTCCGAAATTTTCGTCGTTTAAGCAGCCTTGTAAATATATTCTACTAAATACAGATGCACTTTGACTCACTGCTTACTGTGGACTCGGCCGCCGTCGTGAGTGGGTTACTGTATCTTTTGTTTACAGCGGCTCGTGATGAAAAAATATCGATCGCTGTAGAAATACAAAATATTCCAAAAATCTAATTTGATACATACTTGACCAAGGTATGATATGATATTATCTATATATGATATAGATATTAGGTAAGTATATATATAAATCTTACCTACGGACTTGATAGAGTGACCTGAAGGTGTACTTTGGTGAATGCTAAATTAAAATACTGGTTATGACTAGATGAAAAACTTTTTGAAAATGTAATAAAGTTGATGAGAAAAAAAATTACTAACGAGTCTGGTAAAAAAATTGGTTGACCCTGCAAGCCATCCCTGGGACTTCCCGCTAATGTCAAATGCAAAGCGCTCCAAATTTCACCAAATGTTGCGAAACCTCGAAGTTATGTTAAAAAAAAGATTTTTTCAAATTCTATCTCCTTCGGTATCTCACGAACATATGAACCAATTTTTATTTTCCAAACAGCATTCGATGTCATTTTTTGAGGTTAAGAGCTGATTAGTTTTTGAAATCGATCGGTAAAGCCGTTTAAAAGTTATTCCAAAAAAACAGTATTTTAAAATTTTTATTTTTGAGATTTCTCAAAATCTACTCGTCCGCAATGTGGAATAGATTTGGTGATAATGTGAACTAATCACATTATCACCAAATCTATTCCACATTGAGATCTTTAGAACGCCGCAAACCGCATCTCAATCGATCAAGACGTTTAAAGTTATGAAAGGTACACACACACTCATACATACATACATCCGTACGGACGTCCACGTTAAATTAGTCAGAATAGCTTCCTGGGATCTCATAACGTCGAGATCTGATGAAAACTCGATTTTCGAAAATCGGGGTGAAACCAATAACATTCCTATTTTTGAAAATTTTCAATTTTTTATTGCGGTAAGTTAAAGTAGGTAATATTAAAGTTGATTTTTTTATAATTTTAAAATAATTCTGTAAAAAGTTTTTTCAATCAACAATAATTATAAAAAATTGCATCTCAATAACAATAACAGAAAAATTAAAAAAATAAGATTTCTATTGTTGATTGAAAAATTTTTCTACATTATTTAACGATCATTACAAGTCGTGCATCTCTGGATTTTCCAAACTTTTTTTATTGACGTTTGACATAAAATTATCGGAAAATTAGAAGTAATAAGGTTATTTGTGAAACCTTGTGTGTATTTAGAATACTTTAAAAAATTGACGTATAACATGAGCGGTTAAGATTTGCACATTTGGATTTACCAAAAGTTTTTTTGAAGTGAAAACTTCTTTAGCGGCGTTGGACACTTTTTCTGTAATGGATAAAAATTGTTAAACTCGCGTCAGGACACGTGACCCTGATCGAAAATGCGTAAGACGGGCGGCGTAGGAGGGGAAGTATCCCCAGGGCGCTTGGGCGAATGTAATATAAATTGTCATGTTTGTGTACGATAGCGCAATAAATAAATATTGTATTCTACCACATAAATGATAATACTTTTATGCTGATAATTAAAGCAATTCGTGCAAAATTATTCCCTAACCATTCCAAAATATCAAAAATTCACAACGTTAATATTGAAGTTTTCACTTGTGTGCCGGCACTCCCGGAGCGCAACCCGTCGTTTTTTAATATGACGTATTAACATGTTTTATACGTAGTATAGCCGTGCTGCAGTTATATTAGTACGAGTAGTATAGTTGTAGCACGAATGGGTATGGGACCGGGCAAGGACCACGCTCTCACAAAATACCAGCGTAAAATAATAGCTTAATGCTGCCGTGTTTCGTACGGTGAGGGTAGTGTACTGGAACCGAGGCATTCCATCTTGGTCCTCACGGGTGACAACGCATCTGGATTTTGATTCGTAATCGAGGATAGATGAGATGTCCATGGGCCACAGCAACCACTTACCATCAGGTGGACTGTGTGCTCGTTTGTCACCCTATCATAAAAAAAATTAACAATTTTTATTTCATTTTTTATTTAGATATTACGCAATTTAGTGAAGGAAAAGAATCAAAGCAAACCTGCATGCCGGACAAATAATAAATAATTTTGAGAACTACGTCCCGAAGAAGAATCACAAGTAACGTGGTTTACTTGAAAGACCCAAAGCAACCCACGTTCTCTCCCGATATTGATCCACTATATTAGTGCAGCGTTAGCCCATCACACTGCTGAACGGCTCCGTAGTTCCGTAGCTAAACATTGAGTTGCAGCGCCAAGGGGCGCGGGTTCGTATCCCGCACGGAATAAGTATTTGTATGGCCAATAAATAATTGTTCCGGGTCTGGATGTCTGTCTTTGTTTGTCTCCCTGGACACTAAATTTTATGAAAATGGTTGGAGCAGTTTTCGATATTCCGATTATATATATATATATATATATATATATATATATATATATATATTTACGGGAAGAAAATCCAAGTGTTTAACGCTTTAAAAAAAAGTGACATAAGAAACTCTGGCCTTCTCGAAGAACTTCCAAAAATTACGTTCCTGAATATGCGTCTTTATTTTACTGGTATTCTGTTTGTTGCAGGGAGCAGGAGCCGGCCTGCGAGAGAGAGCCCTCTTTCAAGCAGTTGGCACCGCACGCACCCAACAGATCAGGTATTGACATTGCCGTTCATCAGCATTTAAATGTATTAAATTGTTTGGTGCTATTTTTCTGTCTGCTTTATCTAATGCCTACTTCAAACGACACGTGGTAGAGCCATGCTATAGCTATATTATAGTTGTAGCACGGTCGGCTCGACAGGGGGAGGAACTACGCTCTCACGGAATACCAGCGTAAAATAGCATAATGCTACTGTGTTTCGTATGGTGAGTGTAGAGAAGCGGAGACCCCTTTTCAGGATCAGGTGGACCGTGTGCTCGTTTGTCAATCTTATTCTATATCATAAAAACATCTCATCTTATTATTTTTATACTATAGCTGAGTGTTACCAACTAGCACATAGTCCAGCAAATTACAAGTGGATGCAGCGACCCATAGACCTGCACTGACATCCATACCCGATGAGAAATCAAAACGTTAATGAGTTGTTACATGTGATTACTGAGATGGAATGTCACATTACATGTGAAAAGGGTTTCTACACTTATATATACGAAACACAGCAGCATTAAGCTGTTATTTTACGCTGGTATTCTGAGAGAGCGTGGTCCTGTCCCCGTCTCATTCGGATGGCACAGTAATAATATAGCTGCAGGGTGGCTCTTTCACGTTAAAATTTTTCAGGGCGACAATGCGTCTCTGGCTTTCTTTGTTTGAAGTTGGTTACAGTTATCCATGGAGTTTAATCCAATACTGACTGGCCCATTGGTTTAGTGGTCATAAACGCAATTGCTACCTTGAAGATGAGATTCTCAGTAACAGCCCATAGTTTGTAAGTTGGCGGTGTTTCCATGCCGTACCTCGCACAGCACATAAAGCCGTTGTTCCTGCGCCTGATCTCTCTCTAATCGTGTCGGATTACCGTCTCATCGTGCTATGAGAGTGAGGGAATAGAGAGTGCACCCGTGCTTGCGTATACACTCGAGCAACATAATCCTGTCCTGCGCAGATGGCTAGTCTCATTCAAACTGGCAGCCGTGACCGAAATCGTTCTGGAGGACATTACCTAATCAAGATTGTAATGTAGCGACATCTTAAAAGTTTTTTTCTGGTACTCTTATAAAAAAAGAGACAATTTTGTTTCTCCATGAATATTGCTTCCTACTGGAGGTCGAAACGAGGATGCAATTAGGCATGGGTCCACTCTTACACACACACACACACACACACACACACACACACACACATATATATATACATATATATATATATATATATATGTATATATATATATCTAGAGCCAGTAACATCAGGGAGGCCTATGTTCAGCAGCGGAGTTGTGAAGGGCTGTAATGATGAAAATGAATGATTGTTTTATTTGTTGGCAGAGTCTTCATCTTCGTCGGCGGACACCGCGTCGCAAGGCTCGGGCTCCGCCGCGCAGCCACCGCAGAACCGCGCCCGCCGCCATGAACCACAGGTGAGTCCAGATTATCCTATACGAACATAACTATACATGGTAAATATTTTTATTTGAACTAATTTGAAATAAACTTTCGTTACTTAAAAAAATAACAAAATTTTTGAACTAAATAAATAAATCCAATAAAAACTATCGAAATTAAAATAACACGTACCCAATTAGTAGTATTTATTTATAGATCAATTTCATAATATGTTAATGTAAAATAAAAAAAATGGTTGACCCTGCAGACCATCCCTGGAATTTCCCGCTAATTTCAAATAAAAAAATAAAAAATAAAAGTCGTTTATTTCGACCACAAGGATCATAGAATGTTAGTAACAATACAAAGCTTAAAACTAATGTTAGTAAAACTTAAAACTATTTACCTAATTTTCAAAACTATATCTAAGACAGGCCCGATTAGTCAGCACGTGCACCATATGACAATGGTTCAGGTACTGACAATCAAACCTGTCAGAAAATGCCCTCAGGATACTATTGGAACTGGCCCGCACCCTGCGCACCAGGGATGTGCATCGTTTACGCATGGTGGTGTAGAAACAATCCACACGCGCATCCGCGAACATACCCGACGCACTACAATAACGAGGCAGACCCAACAGCACCCCTGAATGCATTATTATGTTGAACACGCAGGGCATTATACTGTTTCTGCGTGTAATCCACCCACAGACTGCTCGTGTAAAAGGAAGTGCAGTAAGCTCTAAATAGCGTTACTTTAACAGGAACTGAACAACGAGTGAACCTGCGAGCGATCATGTTCGCTCTAACTGACAATGCCCTGCGCTCTCTCTCTATGTCAGCATCATCTTTCAGGTCAAAGGATACTATATGACCCAGGTACTTAAACTGAGACACCCTTCTTAACGGGGTACCGTATAACTTAATGGGTGGTATATACGAGGGCAAAGCTTTACCTTTAGCCTGAAAGACCATGCATTCGCTTTTCTTGACATTATAAATCAATCCGTGACTGCGGGCGTAGCTCTCACATATGCTCAACAGTTTTGCCAAGCCACAAACAGAAGCACTCAGCAACACCATGTCATCTGCGTAACTGATGTTGTTGAGGCATACTCCGTCAATATGACAACTGACATATATGGTGCTAAGCAACTCTATCAGCGCATTCACATAAAGGTTGAAGAGCTTAGGAGAAGTTAAGCCCCCCTGTCGTACCCCGCACTCCAACCCATATGGCTGCGAATAGGTTTCGGACCATCGCACGACATTGACCTGGTTTCGATACCAAAATTTGAAGATCCTAGTAACTTCTTCCGGCAGTCCAGTATCTTTCAATTTCTGCCATAGGATATCGTAATTTACCAGGTCGAACGCCTTGCTAAGGTCCAGAAAACAGGCATAAATAGGCGTTCGTCTAACCGAATAGTACTTCACAGTTTGATTCAAACATAATATAGCCGACTCTGTTGACAAACCCGGCCTGAAGCCAAACTGATTGTCGTGTAGGCATATATGTCTATCAAGCTGGACGCTAAGCAAACTGTCAAGCACCTTTGCAACAACCGTGGCAAGTGAGATGGGCCTATAGTTGGACTTATCAGATATGTCTCCAGTCTTGTTCTTTACAATAGGCACCACCACAGTTCTTATCAGAGCCGCGGGCAAGTATGAATGCGATATACATAAGTTATAAAACATAGAAAGTAATCTAGGTAAGTGAGGACCTGCATGTTTAAGGTGCTCAATACTAAGTCCGTCATGGCCAGGAGACTTCCCACGGGACATAGAAGCTATAGTTTTATTGACATCCTTCGCTGTAAATCGAATTCCAATCTCCCGGCCACGCGTATCCTCATCTTCTATGTCCTGTGATGGCTCCAACGGTGATGTCACTGTAAAATGCTCTCTAAACATATCCGCTATAAGACCATGATCATTAATACCATTGACGCTCACTGAGCCAGGTTTACTATTTAAATTCAAAATTTTTCGCGTGCTGAGTAGCCAAAATGCCCATTTTTATTTGATCGCTGTGGTTCTGACACCACTTCAAGCGCGACTTAAATAAATTGCGACTCCTATGCATGTCCTCATAGACACTACCATTTTTTGGTTTTCCCCACCAAACCCACATTAAAAACTTCGACCTGGCCTCCCTGTGGGCATCGCGTACATATCTGTTCCACCCAACCACAGGCCGCTTGCCAACGCGTGATCTTACAGTGTAGGATTCAGTGGCAGCCACAGATAAAGAATTTACAATTTTACTGTATAATTTATCGATACGTAATCTGTGATCAATGCACTTACAAACACAATTACTACAAGAACGAAATTCTTCGGGAAAATCGATAGCTCTTAACTTTTCATGACATAATTTCGTATATATTCTGATCTCCTCTGGTTTTCTATCTCCCCATAGAATCTCGTTAGTTACTTTATATACAAAATTCAACTTTGGTTTGACAATATCCAAATTACATTGTATTACTAAAGGATAATGGTCAGACCAGTAGACATCATACTTAACATAAACATTCAAAATAGACGATAAAGCGGATTTCGTCGCCACACAGTGATCAAGCCACCTTCTCGACCCGTGGCTCTCACTTACAAAAGTGTGTGTGCCCGACCTTACACCTAACCGCTGTACATCTACACATGACCACTCTTGTTCGTCACAAAAACCCATCAACTCGTCATAAAACCGCTCATTCGGATGTGCGTTAAAGTCGCCAAGGATGTATACACATTCTACATTACTACTATTAATTATAGCATTCACCGAACTCAGACAATCCGTAAATTCCGTAAGGTTTACCATTTTATCTGTAGGCATGTACACACTAAACACTAAGATGGACCTATCACCCAGCACTATTTGTATGCCACATATTCGTGGATTATCACAACACACGACCGACACATTTTGGAAAAGACTTTTGTCCCAAAGCAGCCCTACACCCCCATAAGGTCGGCCGGAAACCATACCTGCCGCCGAATCCATTGCAGACGTGCCCGTGCTGCCGAAACGCTCATCAATCCCGCTAAGAAATTGAATATCGTGTCCAAATAACCAAGTTTCTTGAAGTGCTATCACACTCGCCGACTGACACAAAAATCTCACATCGTCAACTGAGCGTTTTATACTTTTACAGTTGAAGCTAACTAATTTACAGTTGAGACTTTTATCCATTTACAGCAGGGATAGGGCCGTTCACGGTATTCATTACTACACCGTTCGTGCCACTGCTATTATTTCGCCTGAAGTTAACGAATCGCCTGAATATTACGCCCTCCGGCCAAAGTGTTGCATCTAAAAATATTTTTATTTTCCGCTCAGGTACAAAAAATTTGAACGCGTTATAGTCCTTGTTACCTCTCAAAAAAGATATCTTTTCCAGTTTAATATTGCAATTGCAGTGCAAAGCGCTCCAAATTTCACCAAATTATGTTGCGAAATCTCGAACAACTTTTTTTAAATTATTTCTCCTTCGATATCTCACGAACGAATGAACCGATTTTTATTTTCCAAACGGCATTCGACGTAATTTTTTGAGGTTAATAGCTGATTAGTTTTTGAAATCTATCGGTAAAGCCGTTTAAAAGTTATTCCAAAAAAACAGTTTTTCAAAATTTTTATATTTGAGATTTCTCAAAATCTACTCGTCCGAATCAGTTCATATTATCACCAAATCTATTCCACATTGAGATCTTTAGAACTCCGCATCTCAATTGATCAAGACGTTCAAAAGTTATGAAAGGTTTACATACGTACACATACATACACACACACACACACACATATATATATATATATATATATATATATATGTTGTATATATATATATATATATATAATATATGAGTGTGTGTGTGCGTGTGAGTGTGCGTGTGAGTGTGTGTGTGCGTGTGGGTGTGCGTGTGCGTGTGAGTGTGAGTGTGCGTGTGCGTGTGAGTGTGTGTGTGGGTGTGGGTGTGCGTGTGCGTGTGAGTGTGCGTGTGTGCGTGTGAGTGTGAGTGTGCGTGGGCGTGTGCGTGTGAGTGTGCGTGTGAGTGTGCGTGTGCGTGTGCGTGTGCGTGTGAGTGTGGGTGTGAGTGTGCGTGGTGAGTGTGCGTGGAGTGTGAGTGTGCGTGTGAGTGTGCGTGTGAGTGTGTGAGTGTGCGTGTGAGTGTGCGTATGAGTTGGGGAGTGTGCGTGTGCGTGTGAGTGTGTGTGTGCGTGTGGGTGTGCGTGTGGGTGTGCTTGTGGTGTGGGTGTGCTTGTGGGTGTGCGTGTGAGTGTGCGTGAGTGTGCGTGAGTGCGGGTGTGTGTGTATGTGTGACTACTGTTTCAACCTTTGGAGTTGTACAAACCAGAGCTATGTTACGCATACGTGCGTGCGTTTATTCGCAACTGGTAACTATTTTGTAATATCATCATCATCACAAACAACCCTTCACAAGTCCACTGCTGAACATAGACCTCCCCCAAGGAATCCACAAACACGGTCCACACAAAGCACGGTCCTGAGTCAACTGCATCCATCGACTTCCTGCATGTCTTACCAGGTCGTCACTCCATCTATAGTGGGATCTCGCCCTACACTACGCCCACCGGTACGAGGCTGCCACTCGAGAACCTTTTTTGCAATCGGTTGTCGGTTCTTCTAGGCGGCCCATTGCCACTTCACCTTACTAATCCGTTGGGCTATGTCGGTTACTCAGTATTTTTTTATGTAATATGCTCATCACCAAAAACCACCGTTTTCAAAACATTATCTCGATACCTTAAATAATACGTTTTAGTGTCAATAAATTTTCCGGATCCAACGCGGTTGGGCAGCGTACGAGAGATTAAAACACATCTTCTCGTCGGGTTTACCTCAAAACTTGAAAACAAGATTGTGCAACCAGTACGTGTTGCCAGTGATGACATATATATCTGAGACCTGGTCAACCACTGCTGGCCGTATAAGGAAGCTTAAGGTCGCTCAGCGAACTATGGAGAGGGCTATGCTCGAGGTTCCTCTGCGTGATAGAATTAGAAA